CCGGTAAAAGAACATCCTCCACTATACCTTTAATTTAAGTCTCTGCATTTGAGATAAAATGTTGCAAACATGAGGGGGATCTTTGTCATTTTTTAAGCATCAGTTGGTCACTTGAGCAGAAAGTGTATGTTCTTCTAGGTTTTGTGTTTTTCTTCAAACATCGCTTCTCTTAAGTTGGGGTTGAACAGGCTTTTAGGATGAAATGGCAAAAATCATGAAATTACATTTGATTTGACAGCTGAGTTGGATCTAAGGTGCTGCTGCTTGATCCTTTAACCTGGATTGAGATGGATTAGTTGCAAAAGTCAAATGAAAACATCATTGGAAAGATTGTACCTCTTATTTTACAGCGTTTATGTATAAACACTATGGAGAGAAATATAAGAACAAAGACGTTAAAGACTGAAATATCACAGCTTCCATGCTTGCAGAGAGTTACTTTCCCTCAGTAGGCTGCGGCCATCTTGACTCCACTGTTTGATATATTTAACGTTAGCTAACAATATGTTCTGTGCATATGTCAAAAACAGAGCACCAATTATATGAACACTGGCACCAGTGAGTCATTGCTGGAGCTTTTATCACAGAGACTATTAATCACTGTTATGAAAGCAACATCCCTGATGGAAAGCAAATCTACTAACTGCCATATGGCCTGTTCACATTCTTTGAATTTTTTCACATTTCATCCTCTTCTAGCTTATAGCTGCAGCTAGAAATTGTTAATTTTAAAATAAGGGAAATGAAAATATCAACCCTTGGTGTATATTTGTTTATAAGGGTTAATCTCCCCCTACTTTAAGGGTTTTTTTCTTTGTTTTAACTGACTATTCATCTAGATTAAGCTGTTCGCCCATTATGCATAACAGAAACTCTGTCAAAATGAATGAAAAAATATCTATTTTTAAAAAAAATATATCTTAAGTCTTAATCTTTGATCTAATTAATTCTATTGAAGCTCCACTGCAGATTTTCTTCCAGGATTCTCTAGTATTGAGCTCAACCCTCACAGCAGGATGCTGCCACCATGTTTTAATCTGGGGGTGGTGAGTTCAGGATCCTATGTAGAGCTTTACTGAAAATGTGTTGTTATCATCCAACCAGGGCGCCCTCTTTGTTTGTTTCCTTTGTTCCATTTGACTTGTGGCTAACTTCAAACAGGATTTCTAACTAATTTTCCGTGCCACATCTAAATAATTGACAGACTGGAAAACTGCATGACTAACAGCAAACCTCTGAGGGCTTCAAAGACCAGCTCAATCTTTCCTGTGATTATATTCATTTCCCTCAATAAATAAATGACTTCTGGAAGGAAGTTGGATGCTTTGAATTTTATTGAGGGGTATCAGAGGGAAGGGACCTGAATACATGTAGGCATTGTTTTCTATATTGTTTTCTATATATATGTATATATAATAGTATAGAAATACCCCAGCAGCAAAACTCAGCCCATTGTTGTGCATTCTGTCTCTTCATTTGTAAGATACATTAGGGCTTGTAGTCATACCTGTGAGTCAGTAGGTAGCCTAACTAGTCAAAAGAAACACTTCAAGCAGCAACAAAATAAAATAAATGCAAGCTAGCAAAAACTTTGAATTTGCAACTCCTGGGTGCTTTTTTTTTATATAGACCTACAAAATCATTTAAATTTAATATCTTCTCTAATTTCAATTTTTTTTTTCCTGTCTTTCTCTTCTTTTCCCCCTATAACCTTTAAACTTAAGCAAAAATGATACAGTTTAATTCTGAAATGCCCCAGTTTAAACCTATATTCAACACAAATACTGGAAGAGACCGTTATTAAGGCTGTACGCTGCCCTAAAGTTAAAATGGCAAATTAAACAAGAGCATGATTTATGCCAAACTCAACTTGAATGAAATGGATTCGGGATGCACAAAGCAAAAAAAAAAAAAAAAAGAGTTTCCTTTTCTTAAAATACGATTTTTATTTGTGAATTTACACAGATTAGCAACACATCTAAAAGCATCTCCATTAGATAACCATTTATATAGGATTTTCACAGGTCACAGAGAAGCTGGGCTCAATCTGACACGCCAAAGCAAAATGCATTTTCTTTTTGACAGAAAAAAAAATGTAATGGATAGAGAGGCATTAGTAAAGCAAGGTGCAAACGGTTAAAAAACACATGAGGAGGGAACAAAAAGGATGAAATGCACATTCAGTTCATCTGAGAGCAAGATCAGTTCATAAAATACTTAAAAGGAGGCCTCCTCTCTCTGTAAACCAAAAGAAAAAGATAGATTACTCTGGTACAAATGGAGGATGGACAAAAAAAAACATTTTTAAAAGGAGAGATGTTATGAAAGGAGAAATAAAAGACAATCTGAGTGATAAAAACATGGTGTGTTAGTGTCAGCTTGTCCAGTCCTCCTTCCAGTTAAGCACAGAAACTCACACCCTCTTCCTTTCTCCGCCCATCAGATACGTGACACACCCACAACCCTCCCCTTTCCTCCCCCAGAGCCAGAAAGCTGTCATGTAACATAGCCTAGGATGCTCCTTTGCATCCTCCTGCCCTCCCTCCAAATCCAATACTTCACATTGCTTGCTGGGATATTGGTACATCTGTTTAAACTGCGAGGGGGTGGGGTGATATGCGGCAAGCCATCATCGTTTTGGGCTGAGCAGAGTTCAGCTATGGGTCATCAGACTGTTGCAGCGTGATCGTATTTTTGAGGGCATGCTTTGAGAAAGACATTACTGGGTTTAGAGTGGCATCAAATACAAATAACAGCATCAGTCTGGTAATGTTCTAGTTCTTAAAGGGAATTAGGATGAATCAGGCACAGGAGAGAGTGCATCTGCTATGAAGTGAGATTTTTTGGAAGCGGGAGAGGCATCGATGCCAGTGCTGGGGGGATTTTACAGACGTCTCACCCAGGAGCCATGGAGCCTGAGCAGGCAGATAAGAATCACAACCTTTGTCTGAATAAAGTTGGACAAAATATGTTATGGCTGTATAAAAAACCACAATCAAAGAAAACACCACCCCTATATCTAACCAAGGGATTTAGCAAACTGAGTTTTTTTTTTTATGCTTTTCAATGTGGAGATTTATAAAACTAACTTTTCTAGTGTATATCAGAATTATTAGCCCTGTGGAAAATGTAATGTTCTTTAATAAAAAATATATTTTTTTTCTAAGCTTTTCAAAGAAGCATGTTTATTTTTCCATCAAATGGAAGTTGAACTTAAAATTTACTAGGTTGCATAATTGCCTTCTTAAAGAACTCACACTGGGTGCTTCATACGGATCAAAACAAATGAAATCTAGATAACGCTTCTGATTTTCTCCCAATTTCCGTATGTTTACGACTTGAATAAAGATAGAAGCTGCCACTTGAGGAAAAGCTTTATGCTAACAAGTCAATTTAGACTTAAGAGGAAGGATTTCTATTGACAAAGATTGAACAAAAAAACATTAAACACCTGCGAGAGGTAGAAAGCTCAGAGATAATGCTGGAAAATAAACCAGTTAAAGGTGTCTTTAAAAAAAACACACAAAAAAACAGAAGATTTTATTGAAGTGACAATGACTAAGCAGAGTCAGGATGCATCATATGGCCTGACTTTCAAGGGCCAGATTAAACTACAGCTCTTTAGCCATAGCTTCTAATTAGAGGATGAACTGAAAGCTCTATAACCCTACAGCACCACACGGTGGTGGGAGGATTATGGTTCTTACAGCTTTCTTAACAATAAAGTTGTTGGTTTTTCTGCAAGTTGCTTTGTCTGGTTTGATTAAACCTTACAGGAAGTTTGACGGCTCAGACGAAAAATTAATAACTTTAATAGCTTTAGCCTCCTTCGGTATCTTCCGTTCCATTTTCATGTATTCATTAATGGCAGTGGAGCCTCCTGCTGGTGGTGCACAGCTATTACTGTGTTTCTGATTGGAATCTGACAGAATGTGCAGCTAAAATGTATTTAAAATCAAAACAGAAAAGAAAGAGTTTAAATCAACATCCAGGTGGGGCCTTGAGTTGAGCTGCTCGTAAAAAACAAAATAAAACAAATGCAACAACACGAAACAGGATCTGACCAATATCTGTAGGTCACATGAGATTATTCCTCCCGTTTTCTTTCCGCTCACTTTCTTGGCCCTGACCTTTCCTGAACACCATGCCTCGCTTGCCACTTACACGACTTCTACTAATTACTTTATAATCTCCTTCGCCTGTGAACAAAACCGCAACACAAACATCATATGCTGCGAGGGAAGCGCTGCGTAGCGACAAACTAAAGCACAAAGTTACAAAACATACAGCCAGCATATCCAGTTTTAACACCATCATGCTAAATAGTAACTGCGTGCTCCGAGGGATTACGATGTCAGCGAGGATATCCAGCTGTTGCTCAGACAGAATAACGTGCCACAATAAAAGTTTGGGAATGAGTCTCTGCACTCGGCATGGGGCAGCATGGGATTTTTTGTGCATGATGTAAATACCATCATCTAATGCTAATTAGAAACCATTATTTGACATATTATTATAATGCTCTGTGCAAAGGGATAAAATCTGAACATTTTGATAATTTTTTTTACATTTTGAGAGAAACAAACATCCTGGTATCTGTTGTTGTATTTACAGGAAAACGCTGTGACTCTACAGTATCTGAACACAGCAAACCAGTTCCTGTTTCTTCCACTTTCATGAAGTCAGCAGTATGAACACTTTGCATGGTAGGAAAGAAACCTCCTGATTGCTTTGCCTATTCTGGGCAGCCTTTAGCCATCATTAGGTGATGGAAAAACACATGAATGATGCTAATTTAATTGGGACTACAGCTTTCCATAAACGAACTACAAAAACACAAGATACACAAATGTAGTGAACATTTATTGTTCCTCATTATAAAACCCAGAAACTGTGAAGGTATGTAGATTTTCATGTTTCACACAGAGCGGGTCATGAAATAATCTGCTTTTGTTGCTTCCTGCGAGGTTTTCTAGGCCTACCGTATATGTCCTGTCATGCAAAGGATTGTGGGATTTGCTTATCATGGAAACCACTGATGCGCTCCTGCTTTGGCTAAAGAGCCCTGAGCGAAGGATGCAGCCCTAGTGCTGGATTGTTTCATGCTAACATTTTGCATGATCATGTGGTTGAGCTTTGAAGAACATACTGCCAACTAGTGGCCTGGCAGGGCAAATCCAGCATTGATAATGTTTCTAGTGTCATGCACACTGTTATTAAAATGTCTACAGAAATGTAAAAAAAATATCCCGTTCGCAACAGATTGTTTTGACTTATGAAACCTCATTTTTATAACAAAACCAAAGCAGATAAAGATTGGAGAACTGCTAGGTTTTCAGTATTTTAAAACAGCTGACGCCACTTTAGGTTGAACAATACTGAAAAATATCAATCTGATGTTTTGCACAATAGTTGTAAACTGAGCTCCGTTTATTTCCTCCTGAAGTACATCTTTAATTTGCTAAAGTCCTTTCTGGATTCTTTTGGTCTATTTTTACAACAGATTTTAAATACAAATTTGTAAAAAAAAAAAAAAAAAAAAAAAAAAAAATGTTTTAGCATAATATTGACTGAAAGGACCAGAAATCCAGTGAGTACATTTAAATAAAGAGATAATTCTAATAGAAATGTTTTATGAGACTCTTCCGATTGAAATTACCTTTGAAAATAACTTTTTAGCAGGCATTTTTACTAAAACCACATTTCTTTATAAAAATAATTGTACTGCAGTATTCTAATAATTAATATGATTGTATTAGGTAGAAGCTGAAATCATTAGAACCAGAGTAAATATGGTTTGAAACTAACAGTGTGTAGTGAAGTAGTTTATATGATGTATTTTACTTATTAAAAGGGTTACTCCGACAAATGAATTTTTAATAATATTTTAAGTGATCCAGATGCACCTTTATAACCTTTAATCCGGTAACTGGCCCATGCCTAGAGCGAGACGAGGCCGACGGATATAAAACTGCATTCAGTCTGAACAATCACCACCCATGAGAAACAGAGATGCTTCCCTAAAATTTGATTTTCTCCCAGTCATTTTGGCAAATAAAAACAACAGAGATGAAGAAGGTATGGTATAAAAACGCTACATAAATATGAGATAATGTAGTTAGAAACAGCCAGCCTTCGTCCGCACCATCTACTCCAACAACCTTTAACCGTATCGGTGGTTTAACAACAATCTTTGGAGGAGAAAACCGTCATCCAGAGCCACACATCAGCTCAAAGCCTCCTGCTGCTTTTATTCCAGGTTTTCCAGTGTGATGTAAAAACTTATGTGGCGTCTCCGCTTTCCTTTGTGCAGAAATAATTGGAAATATATCTAAAAAAAGCATATGTGAAGGGAAACAAAAGAGGCTTCCAGTTTATATTTGAGAAAGGTTAAAAATGAGAAGAGGAGCCAGTTATTCAGGATCTAAAAAGTGACATTTCCAGGAGCCCTGTTAGAGCACTGCATGAGTTATCAGGTGTGTGGACACACCAACACCTGCATGTTTCCTCACATCTGCTGCAGCTTTGATCGGGGGGGCCCAAACGCCTGCCCTCCCAGAAACTTCACAAACATTCTTTCTCTGCAAAAATTACTTTTTTTTTTTTTTTTTATCCCATTTTTTTAAACTTTCTTCTGCCTTTTGTACATAAAACCTTTTGTTAAAAAAATCAAATATAATTAAAAACAAAAAAAAAACAAACATAAAAGGACAGACAAAAGAAAGACAGAAAGGAGGAGGATCGGGCCCCTCTTTCCTCTTTACGCGGACGCTCTTCCTGACTCCCCGCGCTGCCTGCTCCCTTCTCTCAGGCCTCCGTCTTCTCTTTCTTTTTGTTTTTCTTCAAGAAGGACGGCGTGCGGAACTTCTTCTTCTTCTTGGTGTTGGGTGACTTAGAGGGGGAGCTTTCGGGGGACAGCGTCTCCTCGATCTTCTCGCCAGAGCGCACGGTGATCTCCACGCTCTCCATGCTGGTGGTCAGCTGACTGACCCGCTTGGACAGCTCCTCGTCGTGGTTGTCCTTTCCGTTCATCAGGCCCGTGTGGTTTTCTGGAGGGAAAGGTTTAAGACATTGTGAAGGCAGTACTTATTATTTTTATTTTGAGGTCAGTTGGCCTGTTAGCCATCTTGTAGCTTGTAATGATCATTGCTTCTAAAGAAACACAGCTCTGTAGTTATGAAGCTACACCATTAAATTTGACCACAAATATGGAGACAGGAAATCCTAAAATACCAAGTCTGAAATAATTTTTCATGCATTATTTATCTCCTGAGGACTTAGAATTACCCCGTATTTCCACATATGGTGGTTCTGATTCCAGTTTGGCCCAGTTACCCCATCTTATGGTGAAAACATAGTTACACTAACCCTGTGGACAGGGATCCAGATCCAGTTAGTAAAACCCTGACAGGTTTTGCTTCTTCCTGTTAACCAATCAGCCTTCATTTCTGTGTTATGGAGCTGGAAATGGTTCTAATCTCTGTACAGGATTTTCATTTCCAGGATCTGGATTATGATTAATGGTTCTAGACAGGGGCCAACAGGGGGCCAATGTCCCTATGAAACTGGTCCTCACCGCTGTTATGGCCCTTTTACTGAAGACATAATATTAAATAAATGTCTAATTAGGATAAGCGCTGTCATGGAAACTATACCTGATTAATTTAACCAGTTTCATTTCAATAATTATTTGCTAAAAATTAGCTGCTCCACTTTGATCTATTATATCTTAGTTGCCCATTGCTGCAGGTGCCTCTTTGGCTCTCTTAATATATCAAACAATGTATTATTGCCCTGTTTTTTGTTTTTTTTTTACTCTATGTGACAATTTTCTCATCACAGAATATTCTTATTATGAATATGCTGGATTACTTTTAATCTATGGACCCTTACGGATAAATGGTAATGATATTCAATCTAAGATCGCCTCAGTATCTCTTAAAAGGTAGGAAGCCTCAAAAGTTCTGATTTCATATGCTGCTATATCTTTATTAATTGTGCTTTAGTGCTGATGGTGTCCATAAAATTACATAACATGTCCATATTGGTAAAAGTTTGAGCTCATGTGTACTGTTGTGATTAATAGGCATTTATATATAATAGGTCGCTGGCAGGCTGGTGGAGTTTAATAGGCTAGAATCCACTATGGATTATCCACTACTGTTCTAATCTAAAATACTCTAAAAGCAAATGTTTGCAAACAAGATTATCTTTAAATAAAAATGGCTTAAGCGGGTTTAGTTTGCCCCTAAATAAACATGATCATCATATCAGCAGATGGTTATCGGATTTTTTTAACACCTGATCAGTAAGAAATGACTTTAAGAAATGGCATTGCGTTTGACTTTAGTAGTTCTCAGACAAACTTTAATGCATTAAAATGTTATGGTAAACAATTTGATCATAAAATGAAAAAAAATGGGTTCTAAAAAGTTGAATTGTACTGCATTTTAGCCCTACTGCAAAATGGTCTGCTGGTATCATTTCAGTGACCTTCCTGTTAGCTCAGGGTTAAGTGTTAACGAGGACAGAGCAGCTCCGATTACTCAGAAGCAGAGGAGCAGGACGGCTGGTTTAAAATGGAGCATTTATTCTGTAAATACAAATGCTTTTGTCTCAATGTTTCTGGATGAAATATGGAAAATAAAAAGCTCAGTCTTAGAAAATTTGCACCCGACTGTGAAAAGCATCAGTTTGAAATCTAAACTGTTTTTGTCCACTATGCCATTTCAGCAGCCATCTTCACCCAGAGACACTAATTCCCATCAACCCGCGCTGAATGTCCGCTTATCATGCTCCACAAATTTTTTAATATCCCTTCATTAAAATAATGAATGAATAACGAAAAAACAGCGACCCAATAACCCGGAGTCTGTCCTCCTTTTCAAATGAACAAACCATTGCTGTGAAACCCACTCTCGTAATAACAGGTCACGTAACGCCTCTGATTCAGCGTTGTGTCCTTTTCTTTGCAGGTCAGAGGATCCAGGGCGCTGATATAATGTTACAGCATCAAGCGCTGCCGACCTACCTGTTTGTTTACACCTTAAAACACATGGTGATTCAAATGAGCACAGTACAAGAACCGGCTGACCCTGGAAGGTGGCGTCAGAATATACGGGTCCCCTGAGTTAGAAGGCTGTCATAGGGGTAATTGCCATTGTGTGGTTTTGCGTGTTTGCGCTGGAAGGAAGCTGACAGGAACTCAATCCCAGGGTGCTATTATTTACCACTGCTAATGGGCCTGGTGTGATCTCTGTGTCTCTTTGAGGGGCATTAACCAGTGTGAAGTGTCAGATGTGAGAAGCGACGAGTTAAAGGAGAAAATACTGTAAGTCAACAGAGTAGCCGGGACCAGATCATGATAACTGTTGTAAACAAAGCCTCTTTTCCCCACAATGTTAGAGGCAAACACGTGTTTAGCTACAATATAAAATGTTAACATTTTTTGAGAAAAAAAGCTTCTCCAATTGTCTCCTTTTGACTTGAATTTGGTTGTAAAATAAACTAAACAGACTACATGTGCATTTCCTAAATGATTTAGTTGCATGCATGGGGCTCCTTTTGTATAGTTAATAATTTAATGCATTTGATTCTCGCTAAAAATACAAAGCAGAGTTAAAAGCTGTAGCTGCTGCACAGATTTATTCAGTTACATACTTTTTTGTGTAACCTTGGCTATGAATTAGAACCTGAATGGGCAGAGCATGAACTGCCTGCTTTGCTTCTGGACTTGGACTGGGCAGACCGAGTGGCTGCTGTCGTATGGATGACGTCATGCTGCTCCATGTTAGGGTCATAAACTGAAAGCTTCTCTTTCATGGTGTTCTGCTTGAGATCAGGGTTCATGTTATGTCAATTGATCATAACTTTGAATCAATTTGACTGGATGATCTGGTTGAACTCTAAAGTGCCTTGAGATGACGTGTGTTGTGAATTGGCGCTATAGAAATAAACTGAATTGAATTGATCAAAGTTCTGTTTTTATAAAATACTTGGGTAGGTTTTTGTTGTTTTTTTTTAAACCTGGAACTTCACCTGCAAAATGGTTTGTTAAAAACTTGTTTCTGGAGAAAATTCCCACTTTGATGAGGGGAAAATTAAAGTTTAATTAAGATTTTCATGGGGGGGGGGGGAATATATTTACTCAGATAGCCAGGATGGTTTGAACAAATTTATTTCTTTATTTTATTTGTTTTAGAGTCCTTTTTTTTTTTTTTTTTTTAATAAAAGCCTTTAAAATATTTAAACACATAACGTTAATTAAATTTATTTGTGTGAAAGTGGTTTCACAGTCAGGATTTCCAGCTGGATTATTTTAAATGTTTGAAATAATAGACAAACTATAAATCTAACATCCTAAATCCTAAATATTCATTGTTTTAGTCCAGCTCCTCACATAACTTAATAAAAATGACATAATTAATGAAAAAAAAATTGGATATCCAACTCCTTAGTGACGGATATCTATGAAGAAGGTTTTTAAAGGTTTTAAATTTGCTTGCCTGTTGGATTTCTCTTCTCCAACTGATAGAACTGACCTCTTTTCTCCTAATGAATCCAATCAAATGATAAATGGTTTTATTTTTGACAAAGTAACTTACTGTACACATTTATTTGCATTTGGATGTGAACATACGGACAAAAAGTATCAAATTCATCTGAAAATGTTTTTTTCCACTGAAATCATTAGTTCAGAATCATGCTATAACCTGAATATGTAGAATAAACCCTGCATGTAAAAAAAAATAAAGTAGTTTAAAATTCACAGTCATACCAAAGTATTAGCAAACATTAGATTAAAGAGGCAAACAGCTCTGCATCGACCTCTCTCTGTGTGAGCGATACCTTCTTTAGCTGGAGTGATTTGCGGAGACTGCGTGACAGACAGAGACTGAGAGAGAGTGGAGCCGTCGTCGGAGGTTAGCTCGTGCTCGCCATCTGCAGGGAGGTCGGTGGGGGGGAGGGGGGGTTAGGGTTGCAGGAGGGTGTTTGAGTGCAGTGGGGGTGGGTTGGTATAAAAGGGACGACAGAGGGGATGAGTGGGATGAGAGGGTGGAGGGATTTGAGATGGAAGAGATTAGTCATAACACAGAGGCAGACAGACACATGTTAGAATCAGGCCATGCACAGCTGCTTTCCCACAAAACTTTCAAAATAAAGGTTTCCTTGTCTGTTGATCACCAGGCTCTCTTTCCTCCAGCCACCTTTTTATGAGTCCGCCTTGAAACACGCTTTCCAGCACCACTGATCTGAGCATTGATGTGATTCTCATGTAAAGCTGCTATAAGGCCTACAAATGATGCAGTGATCTAAGATGAATAACAAATATTTAAAGGGTAGCCCGACCCACAGCATAACAGGACCTCCACTGTACTGTAAAGCAGGAAGTAATGTTTCATCCGCTGTTTTAAATTAGTCCCATCTGATTCTGTCTAATGGTCCAAATATTGTCTCCTCCCATCAAGCTTCTGATAAGTTTTCTGTACTTATCAGATTTGAATCTGGCATAGATTAGAAACAGCCAGCATGTAGATAGTGTAAAGGTTGTTATGCAGACTCTCTGACTCCAAGATGCCACATAGCAGTTTTTTTTTACGTCTCTTACCATCCTGCTGACTGCGCATAGCGGCAAGGTAATTTCAGCTCCTCATACATAAATACGGGCAACATCAACTAAGTGTTCTTATACAAGTTTTCTGACTTATTAAGATCTACATACAGAACATCTGCAGGACATACACTGCTGTTTTGATGAGCCTGTGAGTTCCGGATTAAATATTATAACCTCAAAATAATCCAGTCAACTTTAATTAGGGAAATAAAAAAATGCCTTAATGGTATTTATTTTTGTGAAATTTGAAGGGACGTTACTTGTGGGGGATTTTGGTGAAAAAATATTTCTTAACTCAGCTTATAGTTTATCCATTAGCAGCTTCCACCTTCAGCTGACATCTATTACTGTCCTTTGCAGCTCCTCTTAACGCACCATTTACAGAGAGGTTGTGCAGCAACCTGGTTCGTACGGTTCAGATGTCTCATCACATATTCTCCATGTGGGACATGAAGGTGGAAACTGGTTACATAATCAATTTGAAGAGATGAAGTACCATCATTTTTTTATCTTATAACAAAGTCTCTTTATAGATGCTCTTACATATCCTATAACCACATGTTTTTTTCTGTTTTAAATGCTGAGCAGCCGCTCTGTTCAGGAGACAATCAGAAATCAAAGCGGTGCATGTCAGCGTGTCTGCATGTGTGCAGGCCTCTCCAGACGGACTTCAGCTTGCATCCAGATGGGTCACCGGGGATTCATGGGGCTGTGGGGGTAACAGTGTCATAGCAACGGGCTGTGCTCATGTGGCGGGTGTGAAGACCTGCTGTCGGTTCAGTCTGCCATCTTAGTCACACAGGCCTTTTCATATGCACACAGCAGTACAGAACATTTGGACGTGTACCGTCCACATGCATGAACACATGCCCTCGGTCGTACACACTCCCACGTGAAACAACCACATTTCAATCTGGTCCAATGCGCCTGCAGCTCTGCAGAGTGAACCCCTCCACCACTGTCTGCCTACTATTGACGTTCTGCTTTCCTTTCTGAAGAGATAATATGATTAAAATTGACTTTGAGCGTAAGCAGACAGAACACGGTTATAGAAGTAGAAATGTCTATAAGGACAAACTCTTGGATTTTAAAGTTGTCAGAATCAATCAGAATGCTGTTTAACATGCAGAGCTTCAGGTTTACCACCAGTGCAGAGCTTATGGGAACCAAATCTGATTCAAGATGGGAGAAACTAATCTGTATGTGGACATACAGGGGTGAGGGGGTACTGTAGAGCACAGTTTAATCCAGATTAGGTTAAAGATCATCTGGAAATCTGCTCCAGATGTTTGCTCTGATCTGCCAGTTAGCACGCTGAACAGATTTCAGCAGGGCTGCAGGAATGCATGATTAGTTTTTAAACACACTGCAACAAATGACTGCTGTGAATTTGTCAGAAACATTAAACATGGATCAGAAAGAAATGTTTTGTAAAGATACGTAAACTAAAGGAGTAAAGTTTAGAACGAAGAGCCTTAAATGTGTTTTACTCTTTTTGTGTGGCTTCAGAGAAACCTGAAGGTGCTGTGCTGCAGAGAGGGACTGCACTTTGGGGTTCTTGTTTAGAATGAAATGTTTGGGCCAGTTAGATCTTCCTTCATATGCATCGGTCTCCGGTTCTCAGCTTCTACTACTTTCAATTAGCATAAAAATATTTTCAAAACAAGATCTTTTACTTTGGTTATAATGATGCACAAAAAAAGGGAGCAAGCATTCATTACAATGAACAGAGTTCTGCTGAGCGTGTGTGAGCATGGATTTATTAGTGTGTGTGTCTGTGTGTCGTACCGCTGAGGCCAAGTTGCCTTCTCTCCATGTTTTTGTGGGACTCCTCCTTTTCCAACAGCTCGCTGAACGGGTTGGGAGGAAGAGGAGCCATCTGCTCCTCCTCTGTGGGCACGTATGGCTGAGGAGGAGGGGAGGACAGAGGGAGCAAAGGGTGAGCGCAGGAGCACAAGCAGAAACGCTGACTGTTCACCACAAACATCTGAGTGCATCTAATAATCCAATACATGGTAATCCTTTCATCAAACTCATACAGCAAGCTACAGCGCTCCACATCTGCTGACATCTGTGTTCAACAACAGGTCATGAACGCTTCTCATGCTCTCAAAAGAAACACCGTGGATCAACAAGTCCAGATAAAGAGGGAAACTTTTCCAAAATAAATAGAACACTGGTGCAAACAGAGAAAAATTCAAAGTCTCCAGGCACGACTACATGCGATGTTCCAAAAGAAAACTAAATAAAATAAAAGCAACTGCAAACAACAATGGACAGGATGATGCTGGAGAATATTTACCGGCGCGCCTATTTGCCCAGCTTCCTTTAAGGCAAAACACAAATAAAGAAGAAGAAGAAAAAAACAGGGAATCAGTCCCCAAATGTGTGGCTGAGAGATTTATTTTATAGGTTTCTAATGATTTAGTCCAGCTTTCCATGATTGTTTGTCTCCCCCTAGTGGCCTAAGAGAATGAACAGGAAGAAGGCCTGTAAAGCTTTGGGTGGCGGTGTCCATCAATGTGAATCTTAACAATAGAATATCATCTAAAGGAAAAAATTAAAAAAGAAATGTGGGAATAACTGTCCCGCAGAGAGATATTGATTAGCTCCCTTCACATGGAGGGAACCCGCCACATAAAGAAGCTGGCTTTTCAGAGCACCATAGCCAGAATTAATGGGAAAAAAGGAAAGTTGAGTAAAAGGATAAAAAGGGTTTGTAAACGGGCAACTGCAGCCTCAAGAGGATTGTGAAGAAAATTCTGTTATAAATATTTACAATGTTTGGAGGGCTAGAGAGAGTCGCCACACACAGATTAGAACACTGGGTACAACTATTGCCTTCCTTCACTTAAGCCTATTCTGGAGCAGAGGTAACTGGAACAGTAGCTGCTAAAAGCTCTGAAGTCCTTTTTTTGGATGGATATAAAGTTTCAATGTAAAACAAGAGTCTGGATGAAGAACTTAGAGGGACCAAATCCAAGAAAGATTTCAACAGTCAGTGATGTTTTCAGGAGTTATTTCATCTGCTGGTGTTCACTGTGTGTATAAAGTCCAAATTCAGTGCATCAGTTTGTCAGGAAACTTAACAAAAACCTGGACTTCCTAAACGTATGACCTCCATTTAACGCTGCAATGATGCAGCAATTCATGTAACCAAATACGCAGGTACATTTATGTACAGATGAACTTATACTGCATTCCTGTATTACAGCTAAATCGTCTTCATTGGTCAATTTTATAATTCTAACCTGATTCTTGGATGCATTTGGAATGTTAACTTACTCCTAATGTTCATGCACTGCTGTCAACAGATTGCTTCAGATTGTAATAAATTTAAACTTAATGTAAACACATAAATCCACAAAATCTCATTAAAAATGTGACCAGAACATTTGCAAAATTGTCAAGATCTGCAGTAATCCTGAAATTGTGCATTTTCAATAAACTTTTTAAACGTCACATAAAATATAAGTTGAATAAAATCACACTGTCTTGTTTAAAACCTTTCTTCTTACTTTGTCTCTTGGCTATGAGCTACAGAACCCGTAAAAAAAGAACACAGGTGCATGAGTCTCTCTGTGGAGCCATGTTTGTGGCGTTTATCTACATTAGAAGCTCATTCTCACCTGGCGCGGCTGATCGACAGGAATCCCAGCGAGGTGCTGAGACCGCGGGCCTGATGTCATCACATCTAACCGGTTCTGCTCTCTGATCTGAAACGGGACAAACAAATGAAAAACAGAGATGATATCAGCAGGTTCGAAGAGAGTAAAACTACTATTTCCTCCTAATATATAAATCATATATCTTTAATAAATTAAAATTATAGAACATTTTCTGATAAGGAAAATCAGATGTGTTTGTTTACTTTTGATATTGTTCAGTTGGTTCTGTTGCTCAAAAACACGATGATGTGAAACTGGTTCATGTATCAGTATCAGTGTTGGACATTAAAATGTAAAAACTAGAGCAAGTAGCCTGGATGAGTGTTGAGCTTGAAGTTTGTCATGTTGTTTTGTACGATAGGAAGGATGGCATCAAAGCCTCCAAATCTCAAACATAACAATTAGATGCTGCTTAGTTGCTATCTAGTCGTTTGAGAGGCCTGGAAGAAAATAAAATGTCAGAGGAAGTTTTCTGCGTCTTTATTTAATAATGTTTAACTTGATCAGGGGAGACTTCAGGGTTCCTAAAATTTTAAAAAGTTCTGCATTAGATAAATAAAACCACAAAAACCTGAATCAGAGAAAATAATTTCAGCATTTCCAGATTATTCTATTGTTTAAATGTTTTGTCCTCCCTCCCTCCGTTCCTTCCTTCCCTCCCTCACCCCCTTATTGGATATTTTTATCACTTCAGTGCAGGTAGTTTCAATGATCATCTCTTCTTTTTTGACTAAATGTCTGAGAAGCCCTTTTGTTTAGTTAAGAGTCGAGTTTTAAATTAGGCATTTTTAAATGACATCCCTTCTTGTGTACTCATGATGGAAGCCTTTTAAACTGTTACTGAGCTAAAGCTACATATTTTGGAAGAAACCAACAAAAAGAAGCTGAACTCACTTTGTTCCTCTTCTGCTGCACCTCGGTGGGGTCTGTGTTCAGAGGGACGAACTGGTTGGGGTCCTCAATGCGGATCGGAGTTCCGGTTTCATCCGCTTTCATCCACTGTGAAAGGTAGAAGATAAGGATCAAGAATAAATCTCTTTGCTAACAACAGTAGAGGAGATAAAGAAAGTACAGAAAGCTGTTATAAAGTATCTTAAGAATAAAGGAATATACAATAAGATTTATATATATATGGCTCATGCTAAATACTCCCATATAGTAGGTGGTGGTATGCACCTAAAAGTCAAGGTTGCAATCTGCCATTAAACTAATAGAAGAAGAATCTCTTTGCTCAGTGTCGGGTTGGTAGTTTCCTGTTCGACCACTAGATGGAGCTCTATGTTTGAGAAGGAAGGGCTGACTGCTTTGCTTTGCCTGCAGGACCCTCATTGTGCTCACCGTGGTGGTCCTGCTGCAGCGCTCCTCTCCGGCCTCCACGCTGACCTTGGTGTAGCTGTTAGGGGAGTTCAGCCAGCGCGTCTTCTCCCTCTGCTGCCGCTGCTGTAGGAACTTGAAGGGCAGCCGAGTGGCGTCACCATCCTCCTCAAATGTGAACGCGGTGACGGTGGCGGGGATCTCCACTTCGCTCTTATGCCTCGGCTTCTCTCGAATGATGGGGTGTCTGTAGGCGTAACCCGTCCTGTAGCCCTGAGGATGGGAAAGGACAGAAATGACTTCATTCCTGCAGGTTTTTTTATGAAGTATGCAGTACCTTTCCCTTCTCCTTATGACACAGCCCCTCATTTTTGGGCAATGTGGTTTATTGGAAATACAATGATGCACGTTTCAGAATATATTTCAATCTGAAAAAGTCATACGGAAGGAAAAGACAATTAGAAGAGTTTTATTGATACAATTACTTTAGTCTTTGGCGCTCAGACCTCGGCAGGAAACACTGGTGCAGAATTTGCTTTGATATGCATAAACAGGACTAAATAATAGGGATGTTTCACCCCAGGCCTGAAACTGGTGGCGGAGTGGAGAGGATGAAGTTGGTCAGTCTGTAGACTGCTGGTTAGCGAGCCAATATGCTTGAGCTGTATGAAGAAATTAGGTGTGCTGCGTCAGCTGATACTAGTGCTTCACTTTGGGACCTGGAAGATAGAAGTCCAGCTTGGATAACACAGGTTCAGAGAACCTGTCCATGATAAGCAAGCATGAAGCGACAGTGGAGAGGAAAAACTCCCCTTTGGGAAGAAACCTCTGTTAGAACCAGGCTCATCATGGCGGCCTTCAGCTGGACCGGTTGAAATGGGACAGTGAAAGCAGAAAGAGTCCAGTAGGAATGACACTCTGATGAAGCTTGAGCTACAGGGGTGGAGAAGGGGATGGAGGTGGGTTAAATTGGGATGAATCGGGTTAATAGCGGGACCGCTGCCTGCACTTCAGGCACCTTTGATGAGATGTGGTTTGGAGTCCCTTTTAAGATGAACTATGGATGCTGATTGGCCCGTAACAAAGGCGAATAGTAATGGTTTCTTCAGTTGAACTTCCGCCTAGGCTCCATTTAGCAAAGAAATGAAACAAAACCCATTTGGCAGCAGGAAAACAGGCCATGTGGGAAGAAGAACTAACACTGAACCATAAAGCAACATCTCCACCACGAAACATGGAGGTGACCGTATCATGGGGAGGTGGATGGAGCTAAATACAAGAGGATCCAAGACGAAAAAAAGCTGTTAGAGGCTGAAAAGGATTTGAGCTCCAGTCTGACAATGAATCTAAGCAAAAACCCCAGAGCCGCTAGTAAAATAAAACACATTCTTCTGTTAGAGGGGCCTAGTCAAAGCATGGGTCTAACTGCAAGTTTAGAGTACCTGGCAAACCTTTTAAAAGTATCTTCCCAGACACTTTCTTCTCAAACCCACAGAGCTTCAGCTGTTTTTAAACAGGAGACGGATTAATCCTGGTAGAGACGAGCCTGGACGACTACAGCTGGAAGTCCAGGGAAGCATTGATACAGGAAGGCACGAGGTAAAAATACACATAAAACTAAATCAATTAAGAATTTTTAAAATTTTACTCTTTTTTTTCCAGCTTATATTGTCATTACACTGTCATAAGTACAGCCCATCAAAAATGAACTCTCTTAATCCATTCCCTTGGGGAGCAGTGGACTGCCATTGTGCGGTGCCTGTGGAGCAATGTGGGGTTAAGGGTCAGAGTGGCAGAATGTGGGAGTAGAGCTTGAACTCGAACCTCTGGATTCTAGGCACAATGCCCTAACCACTAGGCCACCACTCCCCAAACCACATTGTCTCTCCCTTTACACTTTAAAATCACGCAGATGTGTGGCTGTAAAAGATAAAGACTTTTGAAACATTTCAGGGAGCTGACAGCTTTCAGCAGTCACTTCTTTTACTAATTGCTGCTGTTACTATCAGTATTGTGGGTAATTCTTTGACGTCACCTTCCTATTAAGCTGGTTTTCTCTCAGGTTGTGAGTCACAAGGACAAAAAACAAACACAAAGTAGCGCGGTAGCTGCAGGGTTTCAAACGCAGCAGAGGACAGCCTCAGCTTCATTTCCTCTCTCGTCCATCTCCCTCTGCCCCGCTGTTCACTCGCCCTTCACTTCATCCTCATTCCTCCATTATCCCCTCACACATTCCCATTTCCTCTCACTCGGTTGTGCCACTGCTGTTTTTTTTCAGTCAACTTTCCACATGCAGCTTTTCTTTTCATCTGCTCCCCGCGGTCAAAGCTGACCTTTCAACTTGGCTTCATCGCCCAGCTCAGCTGGCAGAGATTCTTTTTCCGGCAACATCCTGCTTTTCCACGCCGACGTTTCGACACAATCACAGCTGGAGGCTGGAAATCAAGAGGAGAACAACTCCTCCTCTGTCGCGCTCTGTCTCATCACTGTCTCGGCCTCTTGAGTCAAGGCCAACAACTTCCACAGACTCAATGAGTCAGGAGAATAAGGAGGGCAATGTTTACAGGCAGCTTTACTCACCACTCTGCAATAAGAGACATGCATTGATTACATGATTTAAGCAGCTGTAACTCTGCAGCTCCTCCAGAGTTACAGGTGCCTCTTAGTTTAACTGGATGGCCCGAGTCCTCTGAAAGACTTTTACAGGTGGGATAGTTTTGTTTTTGATTCTGATCTATATAATGTGTTTCTAAACTTCAGGCTTTCTTTTACATATTTAAATGCCATCATCATGGCTCACATTACCTGCTGTTTGTCTTGCTGGGCTCAGGCCAATTAGACAACACTCAAACCTCTGGGATCGCTTTATAATCAGGCTCAAGATACTCCATAAAAAGACCTCTCCATTATCATCACTGTAATATTATCAGTTAATACAAAATCATTTAATCTGTTACACATGTTTAAGAATAGTCTTCAAAATATTCCAAAAAAAAAGTTGAAAACAAACCACTGGACTTTGTTTCCTGGACGGGAAGCGAAACATCTTCAAACTTCAAACAAAGTCCAGTGGTTTGTTTTTAACCATTTTTTTGGAATGTCTATGGCCTGGATAAGTGAGAATCTTCACTAGCAGTCTTTAAAATAGTCAATAATACTGTTTCACCCCTTCAGAAACAATTAATTATACTTAACCCTGATCAAACTGCTGGAAGATCTCGCTCCACCACTCTCAGAAATTATTCCATTCCCCGAAGATATCTGCCTTTGCACAAAAGCTTTTCTTTGGAACTTCAGAATTTTCCCATTGTGGGAGAATAAAAGGACTTTCTATTCTATTCTATTTTAAGACCATCAGACGTCAGCATCCCCCCAGCTATTCTATAAACAAATTTCCCACTGAATGTGCCTATATATTTATACTTACAGTACTTCTTAGCATTTTAGATTCACTGTAGTTTGTTCTGTAATGTGTTATTAAATGTGTGTCCCTGCTTTGGAAATAGCAATAGCTAACTCTGGTTTACACTGTCCATGTTAAATAAACTAATACACTAAACTAAACCACAGTACAGCTGAGTTTATACTAACATTACATTATTATTAACACAGACTCCTGATTACACCTGATTAGATGACGTCTGAGGGTCATTTGTTGCAGTGGTTTTATTAAACGAAGCTTCAAACAGAGCTTAAAAGAAATATTTGTCAGGTTTTTATTTGAAAAAAATCCCCTTACCGGCCTTATCCTTACTTAGAAACTTACTTAGAAGGAAACTTTAAACACGGCTGTAGTGGAACACTTACTGCTTCTAGAAGCATTTCAAATAAACTGATGGATTTCAAATTGATGGATTAAGCATTTGTTTTATTTTTTGCTATGTATGATTGTTAATGTTCTATATATGTTTAGCTTTTTATATTTGCAATCTATGTATTTATGTGCACACTTTTTAACCAGGCATCCTGACCAAGACCTGCTGGAAGCAGAGATTCAGTAAAGCTTTAACTTCCTCAATCATGGCAGCTAATTACTGTGAAGGGCCATGCAGATATTTCATCATCTGTCTGATTCCAAACAGATCCATAAACTCACCAGATTATCCAGCATCCTCATCAGGGACTCAAACTCCAGCTCCCCGATCTTCCACTTGTACTGCCCAGCCATGTTGACGGATGCAGCATTAGCCACAGCAAAAACTCTGGATTTATACTTCTCAGGATCCAGCACTATGAGGTTGTCCACTCCTCCAGCACATGAGATAGCATTCACCTGAAAACCATAAAGATTGGAAAGAAATTAGCTTCTGTTATCGAATGATGTCTGTCACTTAGATCATACGCTGAACTGGAACTGAGCTTATTTTTGCATGAGGGAAGGATGTGATTCAACACAACTAAAGATGCGATTGTACAGAATCTGAGAGGAAAGCAGCTCAGCAGATACACAGCTCCACATACAGCGAACACATCCCAGGGGATTTATTTGTAGAATTTAAGCCAGGCTTTGCAAGATGGATTAATGTTTTTCTTTTTCCTGACAGGGTGAGAGTCATTTGGGAGATTTGGTGAGGCATATTAGAGAACAAGGGGAGGAAGGGGCAAAACATAAACACACACACCCACACACACACACATATATGCATATATATATATATATATATATATATATATATATATATA